AGGGGCCGCCAGCCTTCCATTGCATGTGAAACATTCAAACTAGCCGGTCCTCGGCACTGAGGCTTTAATTCTATCGGGCCTCTAGCCTTGTCGTTCTTTTTGCAGCCCACGTCCTTGTGTTCTGTTAAGAGTACATGAAAAATGTCAATCTAATGTTTTAAACTTATATTAATTTTATACATTCGCTGTTAACCTAATGTTTTATTTGCAATTATACTGTATCAAGGATTTGAAATATACGCACAAATTAGCTATGAGAAAATAAGCAAAATGTTGAATATCTAGACACCAACTCGTGTCCCCCGTTTTCGTTTCTGTAAAATTTCTTTCATAATAAAGAAAAAATCCTAACTTTACACACGCAAATGGACATTTCAAGTGACCAGTACTATTGCTTTATGCTTCTTTCAACTGTTAACCCATGGAGTATAAGATAAATAAAGGAAAAGAAACAATTTTACTTTACATACAAAGAACTATTTGACATTACTACATTTGAAATTGTATATACTACATTTACTGCTACAAGTGCTTATAACTCATAGAAGAGCTTAGTGACCCCCATTTTTTATAAGCGAATTCAAGATTCATCTCCTTTTTTTTAGTTACAAGCAATTAAGGTTAAAGTTAAGGGTGTTTTTGAATGGTTTTGGCGGTTGCTTTAGTACCGCTAAGATTCACGAAAATGACCAAAACTTTTATACCAATGATTGGAAATTCTTTTACCATCATTTTTATGGCACCAACCGAAAAATTTATTTGTATGTTTTTTGTTTTAACCCTTAAGGAAGAGCTTTCGTATTTAACAATTATATTTTTCTAATGCGAATTTCATCAGTTTCGTAGTATAAATGTCAATATCGTAGCATCAGTCGAAGAGAAGCAAGGTTGACCCAAGAAATTATTTTAAACCCACTAGCAAGTTTCTGATGTTATTCCAGAATTTTCACGTCTTCATTTGTATCGTACATGTCAATATCGTAGCATCAACCGAAAAATGATCTTAAGTCTTAAGATATCAAAGCAGAAGTGGTGAAAAAGTACTGAAAACTGTTTTGAGCCACCTTTAACTAACGAATTAAAGTACGTTTAAGAGGGTGTTGTTATTTTGTTAAAAACACTTAGTGAAGCTAACAATGTGAGCCCATGTGGCAACTGGTTCCACAAAAAGAGGGCAGCTAATAAAAACAAGCTGTCACCAACAGTATGGCCAATGATTTACCTTAGGCACTTTTAATAATGACCTGTTATTGCATATACGTCGGCTATACATGACGGCTTTGGTTTATGTTTGGACCCTTTTGGTCCCAGTCAGTGGAACCGAAAGTTTTCAACTAGTTAGGTCACCTTCAGGGTATCTTATCAAGAAATCAATATGTTTCTTACTTTTTTTTCCACTTTCTCTGTCCTGAGTTTTCCCAGATATCTCGATCGGCTTTCTCTGTTTCGGTCTTGCACCAGGTTCAGCTACGGCTGAGAAAGGGACAGCGGGTTAGTGCTAACCCTTTTTTTTAGTTACGCATCCATTTAGAAGACAAAAAAACAAAACAAAAAACAAAGAGGGCAGCTAATGAAATTAAGGAAGCTATCACCAACAGTAAGGCCAGTGACGTACTCTTAGGCACTTTTAATAATGACCTGTTCTTACATTTACGTCGGCTATACATGGCGGCTTTGGTTTATGTTTGAACCCTTTTGGTCTCAGTCAGTCGAACCGAAAGTTATCAACTAGTTAACCTATCAAGAGATCAATATGTTTCTTACTTATTTTCCCGCTGTCTCTGTCCTGAGTTTTCCCAGATATCTCGATCGGTTTTCTTTGCTTCGGTCTTGCCCCAGGTTCCGCTACGGCTGTAAAACGGACAGCGGGTTAGTGCTAATCCTTTTTTTAGTTAATCGTCTATTTAGAAGACAAAAAAAGAAACAAAACGAAAACAACAAAAAGAACGATGACGATGACGACAACAACGACAACAACCAGTTTCCCACAAGAAACTCCAGGGCGACGGTTCTAGGGACGAGAGGTCTATACCGCCTTTTATGCGTTCATGTAATAAAAAATCGTTCTCGCGCGATTTCGAATAAATGGGCACATTGCAAGAGAAAAAGTAAAGCAACCTTTCCCACGATTTCGTTGGAAGAGGTATTCCTACGAAGATGCCCATTTACTGATGTAATCTTTTTGAGAAAACTAAAATGTAAGCATGGTAAATGGAAGAAACCAGTTGCGACTTACAAAACTTATAGATGTAACGTTCAGTTTTGGCAACAATTTCTTACATTGCTTGAAGAGTTTTGTTTTAGCCGATAGAAAACAGGAAAGTAGTTAAATTAATGCATGTGTATAGAAATCTTAAGATACCTTGAACTTTGATTTGTTTATCCGTAGTCTCTCTTCTGGAATTCGACGCATCGAAGGCTTGTGCACAACAACAGGAAATTAAGAATATTACAGAAGTGACAATAATAACAAAATTGTAACATAAACGTTCCAATGACGTGCTGTAAACTAAATTATTTAATATCCTTTTTCCTATAGCTGGTTTTCACATGACGTCACTAAAATTCAAACTACAAAAACTATTGATCTTCCTGACATTTTATTTTAATGATGTATAAGAGCAGCTGAAAACTAATATTCATACAAATTTTCGCTCCGAATGGGTTCTTGGTTTAGAATTTTGGCGAGAGTCTTTGCATGTTTACCTTCTTTCATTTCCCAGATTCTGGACTTTATCTATTGACGGGTTTTTATTTTTTATTTTGATCTATTTTGAATTGCGTGACACTGAAAACCAGGAATATATTAGATTACTCGAAGGATAGTATATGGTTTCGAACAACCAGAACGCTTTACTTCCAAATTTACACGTTGCAAAAGTTCTGGGAAAACAGACGATTTCTGTGTTCATTTAAGATAAGGTGTTCCCTGAAGGCCTGAGCGTGCGAAAGATTCACTACTTTCTCCCCNCCTTAAAAAAAACGATCCTGTCTTGTACATATTTTAAGGGAAGTGGGCCAAATACTTTTGGGGGATGAAAGGCGGAGAGCTGTAGCGATGCGTTGCATTACCTGCTCTCACGTCAAACGAGGGCATCGGACGGGATTTTGCTCCATCCTGTTCTGTTTTTTCCTGCATTGAGAAAATTATCAGAATGGTAAATATGCCCTAGAATCGTATTGTTTTCATAAGCCTAGCTTTAGAAAACTGAACTATTCATTTCACTGTTTTACATCTTACAGTATATTCAGTCATTTGATTTCACTCCATTTACAAGTGTGGATCATAATGGGGAGGTAGATAAGGGGTAACGTACCCAAGGCATTATAGAAATTACATCGTGAAAACTGTTCAATTAGGCAGAGGTCTAAATCGAACTTTCGCGCTTTTAAATAAAACACTGCATGTACTGATGTTGAACCACCTGAAACACTTGACAGCAACAGAGGGTATCAATCTGAACACTTACGTACGTAAGGAAATGATTTATTACAGATTACCTTTTCTCGCTTTTTTTCCTGTTTTTCCCGATCTTTATCTATTTTGTCTCGGATTTCCTTCCCGATTTCCTCTGCCTCCTATAAAACAAATGAATATGGACGGCACAGAGTTGACATTACCTCGCAATGTTAAGATTAAAGGTTACACAGGATTACTTTCAAAATTGCAATAACACATAAACTTGAAACGTGGACAACAATCACAGTACAGGTGACAACGGTTGTGTTTTCACTAGGCCGATTAACCAGCTGAACATTCTCTCTGGGTGTTTGTTTACAGACCAACATTTGCTAGTTAAACGTGACATCTCTTTCCACTGGAATTTAACCCAGAATTTGACCCGCTGACTCAAAAGATTCAAATTACAAAAGCGCGCAACTTTCAAAAATGGCCGAGAGAGGATGCGCTTTTAATGACTTCTCTTGTATTGATTCTAGTGATATTTATGCGAAGCAGATCGAGAGGGCATTTTTTCCAGAGGATGCGGTTAATGTCCCCAGAAATGAGGAAGATGCGACGAAATGTTGTAATGAAGGAACTCGTTTTGCACGGCGACGCCATGTCATATGTAGGCTCCTGGCCGAGGAACTGGAGAATCTAACGGGACCGTAGGAATGATAAACCGAAATAAATGAGAAGGACTGTTGAACTCGTCTGTCGTTTTAAAAGTTCTGTTTCACAAACTGACCAAACGGCTAAACCGTGCAGTACGAGCGTCTGGTAAATACGATTGCCAGATTCTTTGGCAGGCGTCTGTCACTACGCACAATGTGATTGGCTACGGCAATTAACGGGACAAGTTATATCATCTGGCGAGGTAGTATAACTTGGCGTGAATTTCCGGTCATATAAGCTAGATGATCGCTTGTTTTTTCTGGTGAAAACAGCGTGAATTTTTAACTCGCTAAACTCAAGACGAACTGTTTTCACTGCATTTCCGGACTTTTCCGACTTTATCTAGCCAAAATTGTCCCAGTGAAAACATAACCAACGAAGACGAAAGACAAAAGATAAAAGCAATTTACTTTCATCCGCCGATATTCCTCACGCTGTCTTTGCTTCTTGGTCAGAACCTTAAGTGGAAAATAGAAAAAAAAAATCGTTCTTGGTTTTGGTCGGTCACAATCCCTGATTCCCACAAAAATTTTAAGGCAATAAATAATAATACAAAAAATAGTATTTTTATAGCGCCTATCCAAGCGTAATCTAGGCGCTTTACAAGTTACAAAACTATATTAAAATTTGAACATAAAATAAAACAAGAATCAATAAAATTATTCCAAAAAGACTTCTTTAAAATATAGGAAACTACGTAGGAGTTGGATTAGGCAGTCGACGTGAAAATTGACCACTTTTGGTTTCCATTTATATCAGTTATAATAAGAAAAGTTTCAAATAACATGCAAATTCTTTTTAAGATCTAAGTCATTCATTCAATCAGTTTCCTAGGCCGGTCTGTGTACAGTCAACTAGTCTGCTGGTAGGTCGGTTGGTAGGTACATGTAAGTCGGGTAGTTAACTAATAACAGGAACATTTGCAAACAGAAACAACATCAGCCAGCATTCCGTCAGCAGTTCTTTCTCTGGTGAAAACTCTTGCAAAATCGTCCTCTTGGGATATTAGAATTAGGTCTTTGCAGGATCTTTGAGGATCCTTAATGACCTTTGAAAGAATCCTGAGAAAACATAAACCATGAAGTACCTACTTTTTTTGAAATTTTCTTTTTCGTGCCTTCCTTACGTTCCAAGATCAATGTGTTAATGCTTTCGAGGAGAATTTTGCCATCTTCATCTTCAGGGAAGCGTTCTAAAACTACCGAAGTGAAAGAATGATTTGTTTCCATAAAGTTGTTGTATAACTGTCTGTTTTCACTAGTGTCCTTATGAAACCACTGGTCGATTCAAGAAAAACTGTGGTATTTTTGACTATTTAAAAAAAATTAACCCCTTCCTTACCAAGGTGGTATATAGACATATATATGTTCTAAAGAAAAAGGTATTTAGGGTCAACGATAGTTGAACTAAAGAGAAACACTATAAACATTTTGAAAACGAAACAGAGATTGTCTAAAATCTAATATGGCTGACATTCTGTAGGTTCATTGGACCTGTTAGAGAAGGAAAACACTACCTGTCGTACAAAGGTCCCTTGCGTTTTCGTACTCACCCTAGTAAATAGAGGAATGTTCACGTTCAGCTTAACTCAATAACTGACATTGCAAGTCAAAGTCCAACAGATTTTATGAAAAGCTATCTTGGAGCTTACCAGCTTAAGATGGCATTTGGCTTGGTATATATAAGCTTCGCGGATGAAGTTGAATTCACAAACAAGGCGAATAACTTCAGTGAAATATTCAGCGGCTTCCTTAAAACAGTTGTTTGTAAAAAATTCAATTCCAGTACGCATAAGATTGTCTCCAAGCTCATAAGCAAGTGTTGAGTCCTGGAAAGTACATTAAAAAAACAAAACAAAACAAAACAAAACAAAAATTTAGATAGTTGCCGTACAGGTACAGAAAGTTTATAAAGAGTAAGGACTGGGAGTTATTTCTTGGTTCGTGCTCAACATATTTCTCTGTTCCTAAGGCCCAAAGGCAATGTCACGAATACCTTTAATTAAACAAGTTATAGTGGTCAGACTTTGGGACTTGCTTTTATTATCATCATTATTATCATTATTATTATTATTATTATTATTATTACTATTATTATTATTATTATTATTTAATTAATTATGAGCCATTCTCATATTCCTGAAAGAATTGTTTAAATCGAAGATGAAAAATCCAACGTGGTAGGCCTATGGAAATGTGACGTCATTTGGGCGTGATATGCATGACGTCATGATTGACAAGTGATTATCACTAACATTAATAAGCTTGATTGATTATTTATAGTTCATTGTTGCTTTGAATTCACTGCATGAAAACCTAGTTAGGGTTCAACAGCGAGCCCCAAATAGCGAGCCCCAAATCTTTATTTACACTCATAATATGGAGGAAATAAACCAAAACAAACCTCTCTGAAAATTATTTCCAAGTTCTCCCGTAGTCTCTTAACACGTAATAATGCTTTCTAAAATAAGAGAAAAAAAATGCTTAGTACTGAGTATCATTAACGCTGACGTTAACGAGACGCTTCACTCACGTACGTCAATCCGTAATTGAAGTAAAGATATAAGTGTAGATGTTGCATAGACTTCAAAGATTACTCTAAGCTTTCATTTGCTACGAAATTGAATAACAGAAGATGGCTGACCTTTCTAAGTAAGACATTTAAAGGGCCGTTTGAAGGAGCAACTCAAGAACTTTCTCCTATAAAAACGTATCGCATAATACCATTCCCATATGTGAGAAAAGTAATCAAATCACAGTCGCCTCAAAAACTAGTCTTATTGCATCGCTAAGAAAGAGTAAAGAACAGTGTGTAACTCCATAATAACACTGATGAGTCTCTTACTTTACGTCAAACTAAGAGTGTTATCCTCCTTATCCACTTAGAATATCAACTAGCTGTGAAACAGTAAATGGACACCTCAAGGCAAGCGGCGCAGAGGAAGGCCAAAGGCCACCTGGCGGAGAACTGTAACCGCAGACCTCGAAGAGCTTGGCTTGGTCTGCGCGGAGGCTGAAAAGATCGCCAGGGACCGCGAGAAGGGGAGAACTAATGTCGCGATGGCCTTAGCTTATGTCTCAGTCGCGAAGTTGAGGATGAGTGAGTGAGTAAGTGAAACAGCAAATGCATTTGACCATGCAGAGACGACGCCATTTTGAGTAAAAAAACAACAACAACAACAACAACAACAACAATAACAACAACAACAACAAAAAACAATTCCGATCAAGAGATAAGTAACAATCTTACGGTCACACCAATGGGTTGCGTCACTTCTTGTCGCGTAAGTATTGCAGCCTCTGCATAGACATCAGTTAATTTATTTACCTTGAAATCTAATATCCTAAGGAATACCGCCAGTTGTAAAGCACCTTGAATATCACCAGTTACTTCAAGGGTAACGGTCCTGTGCATAATCGCTTCAAATATTCCCTCTTGGAAGCCTATCTCTTTACTGATGTTCAAAGCTGCAGATATTACAACAAAGAAGAGAACAAGAACAAAACAATAACAATTATCAATTTTGACTGATAACAATTACAATAACGTCAAACAGAATTAATGCATACAAGTGAATATATGAAAGATCATATATTTGAACTGCGGAGAAAGAATTGAATTAAAGGCGTTAACTTCACAACTACTTAAATTAACTACGATGATCAATCATGTCTTCAAGAAGTAATGTATCTTATTTAGACCAAGAAACATCGTCTCTGGTTTAGACCCAGTATTGGTGAAGATCTGTCAACTACAATACACAGCTAGTGGCAAAAAAATTCGAGGAAGCTGTATATTGTTTTTCTCCGTTTAATTAAAATTAAAAAAAAAACTTATTACAGTTTTGTTGGCGAACAAAACTTACTACGTTTCAATTTGTTTTCATAACAGCAGATTTTTACCACCGGTGAAAAAAGCGAGAAAATGCAAAAATCGCTCACATTGGTTAGCACAAATTTCAATACACTATATCTTAAAACCTAACGTTAAAGTATTGGATCGACATTTGGCGCACATTTATAGATTAAATTAGATTAGAATGAGACAATGTAAACAAGAGCTTTTGAAAAGATTCCTATCATAATAACGTCACAAGAAAACGACCGTAACTGGTTTCATGCGGTTTAAGTAATATGTGAAACTCGAAAGTCAGTATTTGACCCCATTTCCAAACACGGAGAAGAGAGTTGAAAATACGATGCGTCGCGGAGTATTTTTGACGAACTTCGAGGTGTTCGGAGATGTGGTCAAACACTGTTTTGAGTGTTTGATATACCTTCTCAATCTAATATAAAACTAACGATGAAACGGAGAAATAAAATCGTAAAATTCTATACTTATTAAGATTACATATCCAAAAATCGTCACGGTCATGATTTCCTTTGTCTAAACTTGAAATATTAAAGAGTTTGAGAAGCTCATTTCATTTTCTTTTGTCATGATCCAGACAAAAACGTAAGGTGTGATGGCATTTCATTGACTTTAATCCACCAATGACAGTCTCTGCTTTCTGGACAATAAACTGCATAAAACGCAGAACATTCAAAGTTAAACACTAAAATCACCAACCTTTCTTACAGTCTCGCACGGATTGGTCAAGACGACCCTGTGTGAATAAGGCAAATGAAAGAAGTTCATATGCATTAGCTGCAACATCTTCTTTTTTACTGAATCAGTGGATAACTAGTGAGACCATCTCAGATAGTGCAGAGAGCAGTTGATAGCTCTGGCACGGTAGTCCCATAAGTGCTCACCCCCGCTCTGTTCACTTCCGGTTTGTATCTACCTTGATAGTCTGCTAGGCCTTTTCCCCTTAGCAGTGTGTATGTTTCAAGGTTGCATTTTCATTCAAGGTCCGAAAATTACGTACAATTACTGTTTGTCACGACGGCTTTTAAATCTCACTCTGGTGTTTTACGATGATTTTCGTTCATTTTAAATTCAATAATATGTTGAACAAACGTGACAATTTAGCTCTTCACGCCAACTTTGTAACTTGATGCTTTTGTTTTCCCCGCAAAGGTATGTAACATGAAACCCTTGTTTTCTCCAAAACATACGGAATATGTGCCCGTTTTTTGAGGATAAAAATGAAAGTCTTACAACATCTGACGAATAAATGGAAGAGAAACGATTTTGTTTTTTCTCAAAAGGCAAATTTTCTTATCCCCAATGAACAAGAACTAATTTAATTATCAGATAGCCTCGGAATACCACTTTCTTTCCCTGTTGCAACCTTTGTTCTTAACAATAAAACAATTCAAAATTAATACACAACAATATTGATTGATACAACTGAGAAGCGTTTCAACGAGAAGTATTGAAGGTAAACAGCGCTACTTGGCCGATATCATCCTGCATCGGTGAACGAGTCTCCTCAAAGACTGACGAAATTAATTTGCGCTTCAGCATTAGGTGCGTCTGAAGCAACATTTGAGCATTTCCTAGTTTCTTGTGTTACAAATTTACAATTTGCAGAATATTAAAGCCACTAACTCGGGAACTTTTTGGTCTCTCTTACAGACGCAATTAAGGCAAGAAATAAACAAGCCGCTGAGGAGAAGTTATCCATTTCCGTTCTTTATTTAAACCCTGACAAACATACTATTGTACTTTGAAAACAGATGATATTTGTTGAACCGACCTGTAGGTAATTCTAAAAGATACGTTTCACTTTTGCACTAAAAAAGGGACAAGTGGCGCTACCTGACATCACATGACATATAAAAAACCGTGTGGAAACATAGTATATAACACGAACGATGCTAGAACGCATGCCTCTTACATGTTGGGTTCTACCATAAGGAAAACCAATTGGCACTTGTGTGTTATTCCGTATGCAATGTGTCCTCCGCAACGTTAACTAATCTGCGCAAGCGTTTAGAGCAAACTGTAAAGAGTCTAGGGCATCTAGGGGAATATCCCTTTGCGGAATGGTGACTATAATTAAATCTTTGCTCCTACCGAAGGTTGTGTACTTGCCATATTTGTTACCTACGTCTTACCATATAATTAAAGAATTAAACCATTTGATTTACAACTTTTTATGGAAAAGGTAAAGACAAAGTAACTAGAAAATCTGCGATAAATGATGATGAAAGAGGAGGCATCAAAATGGTTGACATTGAAAGCACGATTAAATCTCTCCGCCTCGCCTGGCTGAAAAGAATCGCTGGTGATAATTCTGGCGTGTGGAAAAATTATTTAGATTATTATACATTGTAGTCACCATCTGTCTTCTCATTGGCTAAAAGCCTACAGTTAATTCTGGGAAACAGCGCAACCTACAGATTATTCACTAATCTGTAGGTTGCGCGCGCAATGCATGATTTCCAAGAGCAGTGTCAAGTTCACGTAAGAACATGGCTTGTCGAAAATAAACTGTGTTCGGTGCGATAATGCGTTTGTCGTTATTTTCTTTAAAACAATATATAATAAAACAATTATGAGATTCGGTTTTTGTGATATCCGAAATAATCAAGGTCTCGGTTAGTTTTATCAGCCTCAGCCTTCGGCTTCGGCTGATAACATTTACCTCGATCTTGATTATTCCGGATATAACAAAAACGTCAACCAATAATTGTTTCAACTTCGTTCCCAGGGTCTCTCATCTTACCGCCCCCTGGAGCTCTAGGAGGCGGTAAGATGAGAGACCCTGGGAACAAGATTGTAATTGTTTAATATCTTCTGAAAGAAACAGGTGGTCTGGGTTTTTTCAATTACCACTAAAACGTCAAAGACCTGACTATCAGTTCTCAATTCTTCATAGAGTTATTGACATGGCGGTCTGAATTTCGGAAAGACAATGCGGTTGAAACTAATTGGCTAAAAAAAAAAAATGGAATAACCAGGAAATAAGAATAAACAACAAACCAGTTTTTTGTCATATAGTCACCAGTCATGTTGAAGTTTTGAGGATTCGATGAAACCTGAGAATCTCTCCACTGATGAGAGTTAACAGTTAATGAGAATAGTGAAAACATGAGGCGAAGTCGCATTGTTGTATTTACAAAGCGGCAGACAAGATATTTGAAATGTAAACCGCCTTGGCTTTACCATAGGGTAAAAAACACAAACATTGCACACCGAAGGGTTTGAGATCACCGCAGCACCGCAAGTTGGGATTTCATTCAACGCATAACCGCTTAAAAAACAAAAGAACAAGCTTAAATTTTGGCGTGTAGGCAGCTGTAAAGCTCCCATTCGATTTTCGCTCAACAAAATTCTCGCACACCCAAAGCACAGAGGACCCGAACACTGTATCAGCAATAACATAATCATTTGCAAAATGAATGCACAGTTATTTACCTGTGTTCCTGGGTCTGTTTGAGCCGTTTAAAAGGGATTTGACTAGAAGCAAAGGCGGTTTACATATCAAATATCATCTTGTTTGCCGCTTTGTAAATGCAACAATCCGATTTCGTCTCTTGTTTTCACTATCCTCATTAACTATTAGGCACCTTAAGATATCAGGACGGGACGAGCTAGGACGGCTACCGGAAGTAAATTAACTCAACCGGGCATGNACTGTTCCAATCGACTTTATTTTCAGTTATATTGATAGGAATGTTAATAAGGTTCACATTTTTCGTGATTGCAGTGTAGAATACTACGCTGAGATATGAAATGTGAATAAAACTATTCCTCGTCTGTTCGTTTGTGTTTCTGCAGTCACTGTTCAGACGCTATCACGAGTGTGCGAGCTCAATACAAACTGTATGCATTGAGAATACATCAGTGTAAGTACAGTCGATAAAATGTTGTAAGAATGAATGCCATGGAGCATCTATGGAGCAAATAAAATACACATTTTCAAACTGATGTTTAGTTGTGTTTTTTATACTACCCGGAACTTGATGCAACGTTTGTTTTATTTTTTTTATGCTTGTTACAATTACAGATGGAAATTGAAACGTTCACCAAAAGTCAGGATTCTTCGGCGAGAGAATCAGTCTCAAACGCTCTGGTGGTAAAAAGCCATCTGAAGTAGGTCGATCAGATTGTTCGCTTAATATTTTTTCATACGGAAATTCTGGATTCTCTATTAAAATATTGACAGATGTTTGCTTCGCTTAACTGTAAAGAAAAAGAATTAAATTCAGCATCGCTGTTCACTATCGTTTAAGCCTAATAGGATAAAATTTCTACCATCTCTTTTATAGTCTAATGGATGTCATTACTTCTGTGAATAGCTTGTGCGAGGTTCGAATTATTGACGTCGCTGTCCTTTGCGAAAATGCACGTCTTAAGCATTTCGTTTTTGGCGACACGACGGGACCCGCCAAAGTTTCCCGCGTCCACTGTCGTTGCCGTCCTGGCCTTCCCGTCCTTGTATCTTGAGGCCCCTATTAACTCTAATTGGGGGAAACATCTCAAGTTTCATAAAATCCTCAAAACTTCAACATGACTGGTGACAATATGACACAAAACCTTGTTTGTTGTTTATTCTTATTTCCTGGTTATTCCAATTTCTTTTTCAGTTTCAACCGCATTGTCTTTCCGAAATTTAGACCACCATGTCAATAACTCTATGTAGAATTGAGAACTGACAGTTAGGTCTTTGGCGTTATGGTTGCAATTAAAAAGAACCAGACCACCTGTTTATTTCAGAAGATATTCTAAATAATTTTTCCACGCGCCAGAATTATCATCAACGATTCTTTTCAGCCAGGTGAGGCGGAGAGACCTAATCGTGCTTTCAATATCAACCATTTTAATGCCTCCTCTTTCATAATCATTTATCGCTGATTTTCTAGTTACTTTGTCCTTACCTTTTCCATAAAAATTATTATGGTCTTTGTTCGGTTCTTGGCTATTTCAATGCCAATTAAAAAAACCGCTTCTTTTTCGTATTATTGTTATTATTCCACGGCATCAGCATATTCTGCTGTGTATAGCCTACGTAGCAGCCGTTTCCTTTCCTTTTCCAGGCGGAGAGATCGAACAAGCGAGCGAGCAAGTGGGCGAGCGAAAAAGCGTGCCTTGGGTGAGCAACAAATTGGAGAGAAGTGGGGAGGGGATCAGCAAGAAGGGGTAGGGGTTGGGGAGAAAAGGAATCGCCTGCAGTCAATCCCAAACATTTTATCGAACTCAATTCGCCCACGAACGGAGAGAAATAGTGCAATTTGATTGGTTAGTAGTCATTCATGCATAATCCGACATGCGGAACACGACAAGATCAAAATGACATATAGCCGAGTCCGAGGAAGCGTTCGAATTTTCTGTTCATGAAACGTTGAAAGATCTTTCGCAAAATGCCAAACACATCGATCTCTTGACTTTTCTCTACTTCACATGTGTTTATGAGAAGCACTTTATGCAGTGTTATAATTATTATTAGAATGGAGCCGTCAGACAGTACTTTTGCAAATTTTTAGAAGTCATAGGTCTACGCTGTTATCAGCATGTCGCTTCGCAGAGTTTGACACCTGTTTTTAAAATTTGCCATGTGCTTACACTTTGTATCGGCTCATTTCTATTGCAAGATATGTTTTAAAGTCTCTAAGTATTGGCTTTCGAGGGGAAACGTTTGACATATTTCGTAAACATATATTGTGCACATTTATGGTGCCGCCCGGCTGGTTGATTCAGTAGAACTGTCAAGTAAGTATGGATATCATATCTTCGTCCGGTTTTTCTCCAGATGTCTACCGTAGCTGATTGATCCAGAAAAGTTTGCCTGTGGGTCTAATCTTCCGTAAAATAGTCTTCTAAGATCAGTTACTGTAATCGAAAATAGCTATCAGGCTGCAAATGTACATGTTAAGCAGGTGTTTATTGAGAATAAGAAATCATACATTTGGCGGTCAGCTAGTACAAACAATGCACGTAACGAAATATCGGGTAATAAATCAACATCGAGAAAAATCTTTGAGAAAACTAGTGAAAACATAGTTAACGAAATACTTGGAATAGTTTCTTACTTAATTTAGCCTGTCTTGACAAAGAATGAGCTGAAATGGTAACATAACCCTTGCAAGTTTTACGTTACGAGTACGAATTCTCAACTGTTGCCAGGTCACCTGGTAACCAGTCGCGCGGCTGCGTGACCCAACAAACAAAGCCGCGTGACTGGTTAACACGTGACCTGGTGACAGTTGAGAAGACTTCGTGGACGCAACGTAAAACCTGCAAGCGATGTCACCATGTGACCCACAGGCAAACTTTTCTGGATCATTCTGGAGATAACTATCGCGGCGTGAAAGGTCAAAATGTCAGGCGATTAGCTCGAGTGCCTAGTCTTCGAGACTCCCTCAATTTTTGTTTTATTTTCCCAAGCTCGATTTGCGATAAAAATTTAGGTCAAGGGATACTTTTAACCGGAAAAATAGTTTAGGCAGGTAAATCCATATACCAGATTGACTTTCTGGCCCACAAATATGACCTAAATTTTGATGTTTAAATTCCGGTTTAAATTACATGCAGATATGGCAACGCTAAATAATTGCTAAAAGATGATATTTTAATACTATGGGTTAGCTTTTCCAGCCACGCTTATTATTTTGGCTTGCTAGCGCTCGGAAAAAGTGATATTCTGGGGTCGAGTTTTGTTCTTTTCGGGGCAAAATACAAAAGGCGATCTCGACAAGAAAATAAAAATCCAAACAACCTCAAAGTTACAGTTGCGAAATAAGTTACTAAAAACCTTCTTCCAGGCAAAGTTTGAGAAAATTGATTTTTTTTTTCTATCCTGCATAGGCATAGGCGACCGTCAGAGCAAGCTGCTCTTAAGGTCTATGGCTAATATATATGACCACCAAAATTCATAGTCTTACCAGATAAAGGAAACACTGTGCTCTCCTAAGTAAAGCTATTACTGTCAATTGAGGAGGCGACGTAAGGATATCTTCCAGCACGTTCAGAGCTATGCTGTAATATAGTTTGGCACCAACAAAGTCTTTGCGTTTAAATTCTGATTCTCCTTCTTCAAAGAAATGCAAACCTGGATTCTATGAAAGCCAACAGAAAATAAAATTAGTGAAGGGTAATCGCCATACATTTTTTAAACGTTTTTGGCGTGATTTCGAGTAGATCGTAGGGTTACATCAATAGGAGACGACATCTCCTTTCCTGACTGTGGTTTTTTCCTCTAAATGGTACAAAGACTTACCGCTTTAACAGTTTGTCCCACAACATCCAGATTTCGAGACCTAAAGAAATAAACAACATTTAGCAGACAAACAAACAAAATAAACAACCCAGCCATTATGCAACAAGCCACACAAACAAACTCAATGTATGGTGGTCACTTCATAAATAAAATTGTGTTCTAGTTTTTAACACCAAAGATATATCTGGTGAATTCAGCCGGTATTAGAGTAAGTTGCTTTTGAACCTGAAATTCATTGGCTATTTTTTTTTTTTTTTTTTAGCAGATTTAAGTTTCGTTTTCGTCAAGCATTTTTATTCGTGAAATACATCCACACCCAGTTTGCCGATGGTTTCAAAAAATATATAGTCATGGTATTAAAGGTAACATAACAAAAAACCAAGAGCAAAATTTCATGCACAGCCACATAAAGCTAGCAACATAATGATTTGACTTGTTTTGGTAGCCAGGGGCCCGTTTCTCGACGGTTCCGAAAAGTTTTCTCACCTGGAAAGCCATAGCAAAACCTTATGATTACAGAGCTGTCTTATTCGCATATTCTCAATATGGACAGAGGTTCCCTTCATACAAGAAGTTTCAGGCGTATAAACCATTCTGATTTTAGATAGAGTTTAATTAAAAATGGCTTTGTGGGCCCGAAACGTTTCCGGGGCTTTTGAGAAACGGGCCCCTGGTCCGGTGAGCAACTCATTCGCAAAACGCCTTCAATGATCCATTGACCAGCAATATAAAATGCTACATGTAAAACGATTGAAAAACTTTGATACTTAACATCGGAGTAAATTGTCTCAAATACAGCAACAAAACAAGTTGGATATTATGCAATTACAAGCTTACCATTCTCTTTTCTTGCAGACGGTCTCATGTCGCCGCTTACCACGAGGCATCGTGCTTAACTGCGTATCTACGGCGAAACATCGCACAAAAGAAAAAAATCAATCAATCAATTAATTTATCAAGTGTCGCTGTCAGAGAAAATCGGACTGGACCAAAAGATCGATCAACCACGACATTTACCGAGACAGGCATTCGTTTCTCTTCGAGAAATCACTCCATCATGATTTTGGCCTCTCAAGCGGTCTAAAATGGCCGAAACTTCGGGCAACTTTAGGTGGGCCTAAAAGATACCTCATTTCTCGTTTTCGGAAGGCGTGAAGCATCACAGTTGTATATATCGTTAGAGCCTAAAATCTCTTGGATTTCCGAGATATGGCACACAGTCAAAATGGCAATCCTTTTCACCGGCCGACTAACTCAATGTTGGAGAACACTCTGGTTTTGTTTACCGCAAAAAATAACATGATTAATATAGTACTCTTGAAATTGTGCTTTTTTGGATGAATAGTTCTTCGATAAGTTGGTTGTATTGCAACTTTTCTGCACTCAATAGTTGCGACATGCGAATCGAATGAAAGTGGTTGACGTCGGACACGTCGCGCGCATAACATGATGGAGATATTATTTAAGAACAAGTAAAAATAATAAGAATATTAAAAAGCCTATGAAGTAAAAAATAATTCCTTCTTATTTGAAAGGCTTTTCAAAGTAAAGAAGAACGGCGTTTTCCTTTTTGGGATATCTTTTTTCGTTTCAGAGATATTCACGTTTTTGTATTATGCAAATGAGGAAAGTGATGACGTCTGAGGTGGTTCCTCTAAAACAGCACAACACTCAATCAAGAATAACTCTAGAAATATTAAAGCAGTGTTCTTCAAACTTGGCACCAGAAATGTACATCACAAAAAAAAAACAGAATGACAACTATGTTGTTGCCATGACAACAATCTTGGCTCCAGTCTCTTTCTGTGATAAGCCAAATATCCCTAGTTGCAACCTTTTAAAGTGGGACAGAGGGTCTTGCTCGGAACACACATGGTTCCCATATTGTCTTAACT